ACTTATCAGATGTTTAAAACAAACTTAGCCAAACACCCTCTTAATCTTAATAAAAAAATCGCACCTATTTCAGTGCCACATACACCCTTAGGCTTTCCGCTAGATCCCGACGTGTACATCAAATAACAGAACGATCTCAACCTTTCATTTTCACAAGGCCACTCCAACACTAACGGACGAGACTGTTCTTTGATAATATCGTTCATACATACACATAAAACAGGGCGATTTCCTTCACTAACAAGCCAACCTATCGTATCGAGCCTGTGAAAAAGCTTCTCCTCGTTCGATGATTCGACCCCGATAACTAGATTAGCTTTTGAAGAAGACAAGAGTGATAATATCCTCGCTTTTGGCCAAGATGGATCTAAAGGCATGAACGCTTCCCCGCATCTTAAAACAGAAAGAACAGCCACAATGTACTCAACCGACGGCTCCATATATATCCCTACAACTTTCGGAGTGCGTAGATTCCGAAAATTAGTCGAGAAACACTGCAACGATTCTTCGGAAACTTGTGCAGACTCTTCTCTGAAACTGTTAACTGCAACGTATTCGAAATCAAGCTTAACTTCCAGGAAACGAGAAAATGCAAAGACAAGAAATCATTCTAACTATATATACTTTGACCAATCATGAAAAACATCATTTCAATTAATATAATTTCAGTTAATATAATTAATTAGTTTTTTATTTTATTTCGGCAAATAATATAATATCACGAAAATCCAATTCGATCGGCCAAATTGGCTAAATTTTTCCCCCAATTTCTACCTGGCTGGGCGTTGATAGGATATGGATCGTCGGCGCCGTTGAGAATGTGCCTGAGTCGAGAACTGAGGTTATCGACGGCGGAGATAATATCGGAGAAAGTGAAGCAATCGTCGCCGTCGTAGACTGGTGGTCGGGAAGAAGATGCTCTTTCCACGGAGGCTAATTCGATAGCATCGTCATGCGGCGGTGCGTTGGCGGCGGTGTTATCACGGGTAATTCGAGCGAAACCGGAGGCGTGTATAACGGCAATTTTATGGGGGAATTTAGAAGCGGCTTTGTAGAACGCGTGTGATATGCAACACGCCGACGGCTTGCGCTCCGCCGTTTCGCCGGCCGCCATAAGCTCTGAGCGGCGCTTTGTGCAGCCGGAGTGAAGTGTGAAGAAAAATGGTATAAATTATACTAGAAACCCCTGAACTAAGGTTGGTTTACGAAACACACCATCATGTATCCATAATTAGCTAAAGAACCCCTCAAGTTTGTTTGCAACAAATACCAATTTTACCCTCTGGGGTTAATTGTAATAATATTATTTCATAATAGGGTAATTGTGATATAGTTTGTGTTACGTAATAATAATGAATATAAATAGATGTATAAATAAGTAATATATATTCTTGTTTGATAAGTAATAAAGCTCAGCTTGAGCTCGAGCTCGATAAGAAATAAAGAAATATGCTAAAATATGTGTACGAAAATTAAATTATTTGAGCTCGATTCGTGGTAATATGCATAAGTTTCAACTTTTAATGGTCTAAAGCATAAAATACATAATACTACTTATATAAAAAAAAAAAGTGTAAATTTGGGAAATAAATCAGAATTTTCGGAGCACCGACGTAAAATAAACACGATTTTTACAAAACAACTTTTTGTAGCAAATCAACGGTGCTAACAACTGCTACGGTTGCAAAAATCTAAACAATTGCGGATATAGCGATCGAGAGAAGAAACAAATGAACAGCTCGATTATTTCCTTCTTCAATAATGTAAAATCGATAATATATATACTCAAATAACTTATGAACATGGACTTCATTAATTCCCTTTATGTAGGTAAATATTGACAATTTTTTACAATATAAGAGAGTTTTAAATTCACCGAAGCCGCGTAAATTAATCAATGGGGGAGTAAGGAACTCTTTCCTTTATCACGGACCGTAAAAATGCACGCGCCACTCGAAAAAGACCTCTTTATATTACCGCCACTCGATTTCCTTTCCTCCACCGCGAATCCCTTCGAACAACCAATTCCTTTCGAAGATCGATCTTTCTCCACTCGTAAATCTTCGATTTCATCAAATTTCAAAACGTCGGATATCAAAAGGTTGCGTTGAAACGGAAACGTACCCAAAGAAATCGATCTTCTAAAATCACTTCCAACAATTATCTCACTCGTTACTTCTTTTATTACAACCTCTGCATTTTCGTCGCAATCTTGAAACGGGCTTCGGTTATCGCTAATCGGGCTTACAATCTCTCGATCATCCACCGTCAAAACCAACTCGTTAAGCGCTGGATCTTGATTGGAATCGACGTAAAGAGGAGGCGGCGAAGAAGAGGGTTGAGCAATCGGCAAATGATTAGCTAAAACTACGACGTGGGCCCTACACAACGGGCAATTCGAGTGGGATCTCAGCCAAGTATCAATGCAAGGCAAGTGAAAAGCATGGCTGCACTTCGGCAAGAGCCTCAACGGCTCGTTTTCTTCGAACTCGCTAAGGCAAACGGCGCACTCGCTCCCTTCGATCAAGCCGTCGCCTCTGACAAACTTGCAGACTGCGATCTTCTTGATTAGGGCTTCGTCCAATCCAGATGCTGAGTCAACATGAAACTGGTCGCGGTTCGGCTCGGTTTGATCCGGGCTTGTCGTCGCCGTCCGGTTTCTTCGCCCCTTGCAGTAGCGCGTGACGATCGCGTAGTAGCTCACGAGGAGGAAGACGCTGGCTAGCACTCCGATAATGGCGATGATCAGAGGGGAGAATGGGGCGGCGGAGTCGGTGTCCGGCGGCGGCGGAGGGAAGATGAAGTAGCAGAACTGTGGGCAGTAAATTGAACAAACACCTTGTGTGCAGTCCTTGTAGTTGTTGTATGGCGCCCATGGATTTTGATTCCCCGCAGATCCCATTTTCTTTTCTTTTTTTTTTTTTTCTTTTCAAGAATCTATACTATGATCTGCAATTCTTTTCTACTTCTGTTTGTAATAAAAAAAATTAATATTCAAGAGGAAATTTTTTGTGGGATCTTGGAGGTTGGGAAAAGTGTAAGCAAATAGGGCTTAGAAGGTAAGAAAACTAACTTCAAGGTTAAATTTGGAAAGTTGGAAGTTGATATGACCTTTTTTTAAAAACAAAAATTTCAATAAGTACTTTTTAATATTATACTTACAAATCTAGATATACACCAAAGAATTATAACGACCTCCCCTGACGTTAGGTATAATTATAGTCGCGGTTGGAAAATACTATACAAACTTTCCTCGATATTCGACTTAGATTAAAAAAAATAATCGGACTTGATATATAATCAATTGACGTTTTTACACTCGTTGGATTATTTATTTTTTGAGTGTAGATTGCAAATACGGTCTCCCTAAATTAGATCTAACTACATTCGAATCCTTTCAAATTTAGATCTAGTTACATTTTGAATCCTTTCAAAATTCTGAAAAATTGCACAAACTTCTCTCGATGTTTAATTTCGACCATTACTTGATATATCCTTGTTTTCCCCCTTTGCAAAGGATTACTTTTAGTTTACAAGGTCTCGCTCGACTACCTATATATGATTAGATGAGATTGTATAAATTATAAACTGACTTATCAATTATTTAGTTACTAAAGCGTTCGGTTGGTTGTATTCGTAGTATAGATCTGTTAAATTATGTTTGAATAATAAATCGTATTTTATTTGTTTATCACCCCCTATTAAATTAATCTTTGAAGGAAGGGGTGCTACTAATTTAATGAAATAGCGGACTTTAATTTGATTTTACTTAGTAGCAGTTTTGAATAAATGTGAATCTTGTCAACCGAATGTGTTGTTAACTCCTACTATCTATTCAGTAAAACCTTATATCGGTAACCGAACGAGCCTTTAAAAATTTAATAGGAGATGTTACAAGGCTAGAAACTAGTCAAAAGAAAGGTATTTAGGTTTATAAATAAAGAATAGCTTCTCATTTACTTTTTTCCTTTTCTTCTTTATTATCATCATGCCTTTACTTTAAGCTTTTTATTTATCAATCTAAACTTAAAATAAAAAATTAAAAAAAAAATCTCTATTAGTTTCAAGTAGAATTAAGGTTAGTTGGTGAATGTAGATGTGTGGAGTGCACTACACTTGAAAAAGAACCCACACCCAAATAAGACCACGTGTCAAACCATTTTGAAAAAACAATCCAATTTGTAAATCAAATTAATTAAAAAATATAATTTTTTTTCAAAATCAAATTAAATCACAAAGATTGTTTACTGCCGTCCATGCAATACTACTAATGGTCCCAAAAATAAAATAGTAAACTTTTTTTTTCGATAACGAAGAAATTCGCAGTCAACCGTATTGTTAACTTGGTAAATCTATACACTCGTATAATAACTCGTAAATCATATGAAAGACGTAAACCACAGTAGACTAACCATGCTTGACTATCTGAGTAATATATGAATTACCGCATAAAGAGAAATGATTCTTGATCTAAGCTTACTCTACGTTCAGTTTTTAACTTTTTTGTGTTATATACTTTTGGATGCTTAATGTTTTCTTCTACGTCCAGATAATGGGAAAGTTACATTTTTCATCTGATCTTAAGTTTGTATTGATTTCACATTCAGTTTCTCATATTCACAAAAAATATATTTCGTCCCTCATGTTCTAATAATTTAATATTATTAGTCATTTTCGTTAATTTACCGTTAGTCTGTAAGTTAAGGCAGTGATGGCCACACGCTTGATTCCGTTAGTTTTGACGGGAAACTGACAATGACTAAAAATGTTGACTTTTCGCACGATGAGGCATCAAATGTATTTTTTGTAAACACGGGGGACCAAATATAAATCGGTGTAAACTTGAGGGACATAAACTGTGTTTTTCCCTCCAGATAATTAATGCAGCTTCTTTTTAAGGAACTTTACACATATCTCCCCGAGGTTTGGGGTAACTACAATTTGGACCTCCCTAGTTTGGAAAAGTTACGCATATCTCCTTTTTTTTTTTTTTTTTTTGAGTAAAGTTGCGCATATCTCCTTGAGATTTAATGTTACCTTTATTTACCAGTGAATGTTTTGAAATTCTACTTTTACTCTTAATATTAAGTAAATTACACTCTCCCCCTAATGTTAGATCTAATTACATAGATACCATTCATATTTCTAAATTATTACATATACCCCATTTAAAGTTTAATTTTAAGTGAAAACAATTTTAAACTCATTAAATAGTATTTTTATTTTTACTAAATTGGAATGAAAAACTTGTACAATGAAATTTCAATTTTTCCAGTCACCTATAATGTAAAATATTGATATTATAAGTGTAATTATCGGAATTTATTTTGGATTTCTTGAAAATTAAAGTTGGATAAAAAATCATAATCTAATATGTATTCTAACTCTGTTAAAAAAAATCGGAAAAAACAGAACTTTCGAAATTCGGAATAAAAGTTTTGATAAAAAATCTAAAATGTAAATTCCACTTTCCTCCCTCGTACTCAACCTAGAATCACTTTACCCCCATACACTTGTATAATTGTCCCAATGTAGTCCTCATCGTCAATTTTCACTATTTTGATTTTGACGCCGTTTGGTCAAGGTCTGTAGATTAACAAAAATGCCATTTCTTCATATTACACTTACTTTTCTTCTTTTCCCAATTAAATCCACTCCCCCTTCCAAGAGATCCCCAAATTCAAGCCCTAGCTGTAGGAAAAATCAAGAACAAAAAACGTAAGTGGGAAATGAGTTTAATTAGGAGAAGAAGAAACGTAAGTGTAAGAGGAAGAAGTGGCGTTTTTGTAATTTACAGACCTTGACCAAATGGCGTCAAAGTCAAAATCGTGAAAATCGATGGAGAGGGCTATATTTGGACAATTGTACAAGTATAGGGGTAAAATCGATGCAATTGAGAGTATGAGGGGCGAAAGTGGAATTTACCCAAATATAAAATATTCGGAACTTAATTTTTTCTCTCTTTTTAATATTCTTTCACCTTCTTCCACATATCCCCAAATTTCACAACTGTTTCTCTCTGGTTTATATCACAGCTAGTAGTTTGTTTACAATTTCGATTCGAATTCAACACAGTAAGACAAAATTCGCCGAATTGTAGAGAGAGAAAGTCAAAATGCTGCAGAACGAGTTTCAGATTGGCGGCGATGGTATTCCGGTGAGCGAGGTTTACTGGTCTCTGGTGGCCAAGGCCGACAAGAAGTTCTCTAAGATCCGCGATTTGCCCTACTATCAAAGAACCAGGT